TAGATTCTCTTTGAGGCCGGTCAAAAGGGCGGATTGATCGTTTTGCTTGAGACTTCCCCACCATTTATGATTCTGCTCTTACAAGTTGCAAAGGCTTCACAGATGGAGGGCGGGACGCTTACAAAATGTGATGCATCGCCCTAGCGCCGCGCACATTCGTCTTCAAAGTTTGCACAAGCTTCACGGATGGAGAGCGGGCCGTTTCCAAAATCTGAGCCTTGCTTCAGTGCCGCGCACGTTCGTCTTAAAAGTTAGCAATGAGTTCGGATGGAGGGCGGCTCCCTGTTTAGCGCCGCGCGCATGCGCTTTAGAAGCTTGCAGCAGCTTCACGGATGGAGGGCGGCTCCTTTCAAAATGTGGCCTTCGCCTTAGCACCGCGCCCATTCGTTTCGAGCGTCTGCGACTGTTTGAAGGGTTATCATGGTGAACGCCCCAAACATGTTGTTGTGTCTCAATGTCGGAATACCAGGACGCAACTGTCACCCTGATTCGCAGCGAACGTGAGCACGCAGAACCTCGTCCTGATCGGCGACTTCAACCTCTCTGAGCTGCCGCCCACGAGCCTTTTGCGCCCCGTCGACGTCACCACGAAGCACCGCTGCCAGTACACCCCACGTTCTGGAAACGGATATTCGCTTCGATGGTGGAGGTCACCACGCGCTCATACACTTCGGGCGAAGAGAACTATGCACATGCACCGATCCTGGCAAGGCCCATCTTTGACCCAGGATCGGCGCATACGCCCTCCTGGCCAAGGTAGGAGGGCGTATGCACCGATCCTGGGCTCAGGATGGGCCTGGCCAGAATCGGTGCATGTGCATAGTTTTTGTTCCTCTAACACTCGGCCGTGCTCGGCCAACGAGACGAATGGCCGCCATCGACTGCTGCCTCGTCTCCTCCGCGGCCAGCAGCGCCCCCCGCCCGGAGGCCCGCCCGGCCGCCGAGAGCCGCCCGCTGGAACAAGCTGGCGAACCTGCAGGCGGCCACAAAGTACGACATCTTCGTCTTCGACCTCCTCCTCCTCCTCCTCCTCCTCCTCCTCCTCCTCCTCCTTCTCCTCTCTCCGCAGGTGGGCGCAACGCCCACCTGCGGAGAGAGGCACTCACGCTTTCGCCTTCGACCCCAAGCGCTACAAGTTCTACCGCTCGCGATTCCTGGGCACCGCGGACTTCGACCCGAACTGGGGCACATCGTGACCGTGGCGGCGCAGAAAGCTCGCGACGCCCTCGTCGCAATACACCCTGCAGAGCTGATGGACACCGACCCGCATATCTGTCAAGAGGAACGGGCCATGACACTGCGAAGCATCGCTCGCGCCGTCTGGTTCCAGGATTCGGCCTGCCAAGCGGCTGGCAACGGACACCGAAGCCAGCGCCGCCTACCTCGACTTCGATAACGGCGGGATCTTCGTCGCCAGCGCCGACGACTTCGCGACGGAAGTCGACTTGGTGCCCCTGGTTCTCGCCGACAAGCGTCGCCGGGAAGCCGACTACTCGCTGTCGCGCAGCCTTCCAGGAGCAGAGCCGCCAGCTCGGGGGCGAATGGCGACGGCGTGCCCGCCGCGCAGGACAACTCGGTGAACTTTGAAGCCTTTCGCCAAAAGCCTGGTGCTCGCCGGCGTGCGCATTTCCATAGGTGCCCAGCACCACGTCGCCACAAGACCGTCAACATCTACGGCATGTAGTATTGCCTCCACGGAATCTTTCCACCATGTGAACGCGTTGATCTGCCGCTTCCTGATCTCCGGGACCTTCAAGACGCTGCCCGCGAGGAAGGTGACTACGCACCTGGACCTGACGGACGGCCGCACAGCGCCCGGGCCCACTTCCTCGGCAGCCTCGACCCCCAGGCCGAGCTCATCTTCTCGCTCGCTGACGGCGGCGCGATTCCCTGCGACCTGAACCACTCGACGATGGCCACGCTGTCGAAAGGCGACGAGTCGCTCGGCAACTTCGAGTGCACCCGGGCTCCAGACTGCCTGCGCCCCTTCGCCATGAAGAACAGCGACCTCAAGTTAACCGCCTCCGCAGCTAACCGCAAGCTGCACTGCATCGCTGCCCAGATCGCCAAAGTGCAGCAGGGTTTTGTCAACGGTCGGCAGCTCTTGAACAAGATTGCTGAGGTCGACGCGGTCTCTCGCAAGCTCGGCATCAGCGAGTGCGCTCGCAAGCTCGCGCCGCGCTTCGCCGGCATGGACATCGCGGCCGCTTGTTTCTCTGACTGCCGCGCGAATGATTGCGGGAGAGGTCCTCGAGCGCCAGGGCGCCCACGGGCCCATGCGCATTCTACTTCGCTCACGCTGCCACATGCCCCATCGCCTTCCCTGAGATGGGGGGGCACGGCGTGCCCTTCTCAAATGCTGCGCCGGGCGCCGCTCACGGACGCCCCCTGAGCGGCGCGCTTCGGGCGCTCATCTTCGGCCGGACCATCCGCGACATCCTGCGCGAGCTCGACCGCGTCGGCCGCGGCCCCATCAGCGCGCGCGCCGACGACCTGGGCAGCACCTTGGCAGCGCTCCGCGACGTCGCCAGGCCCCTCTCGCACCTACGAGCTGCTCAACCCCTCGCGGGACCACACCTGCAGGCCAGGAGAGGCATCATCGCACCGACCTGGGCGCTCCCCCAACACCGCAGCTCACGCGCCGGATGCAGCAGCTCCTCGCCGACATCTGCCCACTCTGGCGCGACTTCAGGATCGCCGCCCACGCGAGGCGCCTCGGCGCGCCCACCGGCCCTGGCGCCCCACACTGGTCCTGGCGCCTCATGCAGTGGAAGGGCCCCTCCAGCAAGTGGTGGGACAGAGCCCCAATTACCGGGGACGTCTGGTCGCCGCTCCAGCAGAGCATAAGCTCCGCGACGTCGCCGCAGTCACCTGCCTCTCGCGCGCTGGCCAGTTGCGCCCGCCCCCGCCACGCTTCCTCGCCAAGGAGCTGCACGCGCTGCACAAGCGACTGCGCGCAGCGCCATCCAGCTTCACCAAGATGGGCATCTTCTGCTTCAGGCGCAGGCGCTGGACCCGGGTTGATGGCGCGGGGGTTCGAGACCTTGCTCTCGGCAGCGATGTGGCGCGCGGCCTCGAATACACTGACGACCTGGCCTCGCCTTCTTCGTCTTCACCGAGCAGCTGGCGAGGATCGCCTTCATGTCTCCGGAGCAAAGGACGGGCGACGGCGCGCCAACTGCCGGGGGGGGGGCCAGCTCTCCATCGCACGGCGCTGCGAGATGATCAGCTCTACCCGACGCGCAAGGGCTCGCCCCGCAAGACTCTCAAGCGCTCGCCGGGCACGCCTGCGAGAGCCACTCAAGCCCTGGAGGCCGCTCACTGCCTCGCCGCCGCAGCTGGACGACCGGCGCTCTCGGAAGAGGGTCGCAACAGGACCGGGGGCCGCGGCGAGGCCCGAGGAAAAGGATCAGCATCGAAGGCGAAGTCGCCACAACGAGCGTCTCTGCTCGAGCTTGAGAACGACCTCTACTACGACGCCTTCGACAAGACAACCATCAAGCGCCTGAAATCGCAGTTTTCATTCCACTCGGGCTTCAACCTTGCCCGCGACCCTTTCGCGGGCTTCGTGGGGACCAACCCAACGAACCTGAGCCTGATCCAAGACAAACCATCGCCTGCGCGACTGAGCGCGCCGAGGCATTGGCCGCGCGATGGATCCCGACCGCGCTCGTGGACTCCAGCTTCGACGACTACACTGACTGGATGGAGCGGTGCGTGCCCTACCTCACAGGTGCCCCACGCCGCCCTCAGTTCGACGTCATGTTTGCCCCCTGCCACGACGGGGGCGGCCGCCGCCAGACAGCCATAGACATCTGCGAGAGGAACTGGCATTTTGCAGCCCGCGTGCGAGGCCGCCGGCACATGATCTACTAGGCCGCGCACCTGCCCGCAGCCACCCAACGTGAACGCGACGAAGAAGCTGCAGAACATCCTGCTCGCCGCCGCTGGCTGGCTGTTGAAGACACGCACGATGAAGACCATTGGCTGCCAGACGACGCAGCACAAGGTGGTGGCGAGAATCCACCTACGGGCATGATCGGCGCCCCGCACTGGCCTTCGTCGCTGGTTGGCGAGTGGGCGACTCTGTGCCAACACCTATCACGAGTGCCTCCTTCAAACCTGCGGCTAGTGCTCAAGACATTCTCTGGCGCCTGGACAACAAGCTACCGCGTGCGCGCCAACCCGCACAAGCTCAACTGCGTGTTCAGCTGCCCCGCTGCCGAGAGCAAGCTGAATATCGATGACACCGCACATTACCCCACTTGCCCAAGGATGCGGTCGCACTTACGCCAGCCGCGCGGCATCGTGTCCTCCAACATCCTGCTGCGCATGGGCCGAGGGCGAGACTGACATCGACCATTCCATCACGCGCATGGCTGTCGCAAACAAGGCGTTCAACTTCCCGCGCATCAGCAATCAGAACTACCCGTATTTTCGTTGCGTGTCGTCGCGCTTCTGGCCTTGACGATGGGTGCCGTCAAAGCCCCCTTGAGGGGATGCGGATTCAATACGACATCAGAGCTGTGGAAGATGTTGGGCGTGGAAGAAAGAACAAACAAAACAAAAAAAAAAAAAAAAAAAAAAAAAAACTACCCAAACCCGACCCGACCTTCGGCTCCGAGGGCAGGGCGGAGCTCAGCCAGAACAGCGTCTTCCACACGAACGCCGCGGCTGTTCGCCGCTTCGCGCCCAGCTCCGAGGCTGCCAGCATGCCTCGCGGGCGGCGCGGGGCCGCTCGGTCGCCGTGATCGGAGGGGTCGTCCCCCTCAGTGGAAAGTCGTTTCCTCCTCCTCCTCCTCCCTCCTCCTCCTCCTCCTCCTCCTCCTCCTCTCCTCCTCCTCCTCCTCCTCCTCCCTCCTCCTCCCTCCTCCTCCTCCTCCTCCTCCTCGAGAGAGAGAGAGAGGCCTCCTGCGGGCAGCTGCCGACCCTCCCCTCCAGGAGGGCCTCCCTCCCGACGGAGAGCTCGCCCCGCCCCAATGGTCCCCGCGCCGGCCGAGGACGCGCGCCAGCACCGGCCAGCCGAGCCCCGGGGCGCGGACGCGGCGTACGCGGCGGAGCTGGACAGGCACCGCCCATGGCGGCCAGGAGGAGGAGGAGGAGGAGGAGGAGGAGGAGGACGAGGACGAGGAGGAGGAGGAGGAGGAGGGAGGAGGAGGGAGGAGGAGAGGAGGAGAGGACGAAGAGGAGGAGGATGAGGAGAGGAGGAGAGGGAGGAGGAGGAGAGGAGGGGAGGTAGGAACAGAAGGAGGAGAGGGGGAGGCGGGAGAGGGGAGGAGGAGGAGGAGAACTAGAAGAGGAGGGAGAAGGAAGGAGGAGGAAAGGATGAGGACGAGTCGAAGCGAGGGGAAGAACGAATTTGGAAGGAGGAGCGGGAGGCGGAGGAGGAGGAGGAGGAGGAGGAGCCTTCGACAAGAGGCTCCGATTGGATGAGGCAGCTGACACGCTGTGTAAGTATGTCAAGCGATAATGCGATCCACCTCTTAGCGACCCGACCAGGAGCGCCCCCTGGGAAAACCACCCCAAGAAAAAGAGAAAGAGAGAGAGAGAGGTTCGAGGTCGTCGGGCCCCCGTCTCCTCCTCCTCCTCCTCCTCCTCCTCCTCCTCCCCCCCACCCTCCTTACCTCTCCTCCAACCTCCTCCTCCTCCTCCTCCTCTCCTCCTCCTCCTCCCTCCTACTCCTCCTCTCCTCCTCCTCCTCCTCCTACTCCTCCTCCTCCTCCTCCTCCTCCCCCTCCTCCTACCCCTCCACCTCTCCTCCTCCTCCTCCTCCTCCTCCTCCTCCTCCTCCCCTCCTCCTCCTCCTCCTCCTCCCTCATCCTCTCCTCCTCCTCCTCCTCCTCCTCCTCCTCCTCCTCCTCCTCCTCCTCCTCCGCCTCCCTCCTCCTTCCTCGGCGTGAGAGCTTCGAGTCGTCCCCCGCCCTGGTCCGGGCTGCGGGGCCTGCCGGCGCGGGTGCTTCGGCAGCAGCGGCGCCACCGCCGAGGCCTTCCCGGGGCTGCCGAGGGGTCCTCCTCCGAGCTGCCGAGGGGCCCCCCCCTCCTCCTCTCCTCCTCCTCCTCCTCCCTCCGTCCTCCTCCTCCTCCTCCTCCTCCTCCTCCTCCTCTCTTCCTCCTCTCTTCCTCCTCCTCCTCCTCCTCCTCCTCCTCCTCCTCCTCCTCCTCCGCCTCCTCCTCCTCCTCCTCCTCCCCCCGTCCTCCTCCTCCTCCTCCGCCTCCTCCTCCTCCTCCTCCTCCTCCTCCTCCTCCCACTCCGCCTCCTCCTGTTCTCTCCTCCTCCTCCTCCTCCTCCTCCTCCTCCTCCTCCTCCTCCTCCTCCTCCTCCTCCTCGGGCGTGAGAGCTTCGAGGTCGTCGGGCGCCCCGGTCGGGCTGCGGCGGCTTGCCGGCCGCGGGGTGCTCGCCAGCAGCTGCGCCCCGCCGAGGGCCTTCCCGGGGGCTGCCGAGGGGTCCTTCTCCGAGCGGCCGAGGGGCCCCCTCCTCCTCCTCCTCCTCCTCCTCCTCCTCCTCCTCCTCCTCCTCCTCCTCCTCCTCGGGGTCCTTCCCGAGCGGCCGTGGGAGAGCCGGGTGGTGGTGTGGAAGCCCAGACGTGCTCGCGTCAGAAGCAAGCACGAAGGGAGAAGGACGAGGAGGGGGAGGAGGAGGAGGAGGAGGAGGAGGAGGAGGAGGAGGAGGACGAGGACGACGACGAGGAGGAGGAGGACGAGGAGGAGAAGGACGGGGAGGAGGAGGAGGAGGAGGAGGAGGGGGAGGACGACGACGTTCGACGACGACGTTCGACGACGACGATAACGATAACGATAGCGATGACGATAACGACGATAACGATAACGACGACGACGACGACGACGACGACGACGACGACGACGTTCGACGACGACGTTCGACGACGACGTTCGACGACGACGACGACGACGACGACGACGACGACGACGACGACGACGACGAGGACAACAACAAGGACGATCCTGAGATCTGGGCGTTGCAATTCTGGGACAGTAGACGGGTTTGCCCAGTTTCGGCCCCCGGGAACAGCCCGGATCGATCGGGTTCGAAAAACGCCGCCGAAAGATCGGGTCCGGGGTTTTCGTCGTGATTTTTCGCGACGTCGCGGCTCGAGGTTCGATGTTTGTTGGGCTTCCATGAGGCTCTAAGTCGCCAAGCATGGGATCCGCCTCGAGGACCTGGTCCGAACGCACCCCTGAAAAGGTCCGGGGTCGACTTTCTGAGCACCGCCACGAACCCGGACATCCGACGTCACGATTTTTTCGAGATTCGGGCCCCCGACCTCCCGACCACTTCCCTGGGACTGGGTTTCCATCTCGAGTCGTTTTTTGACGGTCCCGAGGCCCAGCGAGGGCCCCGAGAGGCCGAAAACGACGAAAAGCCTCCGTCTCGATGTTTTCGAGACGCCCGCTGTTCCAGGAAGCAAGAGGTGGTCCCGACCCCCACCTCCTGCTGCTGCTCCTCCTCCTCCTCCTCCTCCTCCTCCTCCTCCTCCTCCTCCTCCTCCTCCTCCTGCTGCTCCTCCTCCTCCTCCTCCTCCTCCTCCCCCTCCTCCTCCTCCTCCTCCTCCTCCTCCTCCTCCTCCCCTCCGAGGGGATGCTTTGTGGGCTGTCTTCGGCCTCCCAGGCCCCTCGCCGTGCCCCAGGGCCGTCGGAGCACGGCCCAGGATGAGAAATCGGTTTTAGGTGAGGGGCTTAGGCCTCTGAGGGTCGACGTGGTGAAATAAAAAAGGCAAAACAAGTACACAAAGAAACTCCCAAAAAAAGGCCGGAGTTTGGGAGCTGGAGGCGGGTCCCCCGCCCTGGGCCTCCGAGGGCCTCCCGGACGCGGCGAATGAGGAGGGAGAGGAGGAGGAGGAGGAGGAGGAGGAGGAGGAGGAGGAAACGTCGGAGCTCAGAGGAGCAAGAAGCCATGATAACGATAGGCTCCATGGTTCCCCTGGTGTCCTGGGTGTTCCGCACGGGCCTGCAGGCACCAGGGCCGCCAGACGCTCGAGAACGGCCGAAACGCATCCGGGGCCAGGCGCAGCATGACACGTCGCCGCGACGGTGGCGCCGACGCGCGGCCCTACGCCTTGGGGAGGGCGCCTCGGCCACCAGGGCAAGCACAGCCTCGGACGCGGGGGGCCTGCCGTGGGGTGTGCCGCGGCTCCGGCCTCGCCCACCAGGGGCGCTGCACGCAGAGCCTGCCGCAGGTCTGTCGTGGTCGGCGTCGTCCCTGACGTGAGGAGGAGGAGGAGGAGGAGGAGGAGGAGGAGGAGGAGGAGGAGGAGGAGGAGGAGGAGGAGGGGGAGGGGGAGGGGGACGAGGAGGAGGAGGAGGAGGAGGAGGAGGAGTCCCTGACGTGAGGCTGTGTCACCTGGGGCTTCGGTGTCAAGTGGGGTGGCCCATCGCCAGCACGTGGTGCTACCATGGGCAGACATGTTCTAAACGTCCCGGCCCGCGACCCACCCGCGGACCAAGCCGCGACCCGCCCGCGACCCGCCCGCGACCCACCCCGCGACCCACCCCGCAACCCACCCGCGACCCAAACCGCGACCCGCCCGCGACCCACCCGCGGCCCACCCGCGACCCACCCCGCGACCCACCCGCGATCCACCCCGCGCCCGCCGCCCCCCTCTTATCCGCAACTGCGGGGAGGAGGAGGAGGAGGAGGCGGAGGAGGATGAGGAGCAGGGGAAGGAGGGGGTCATGAGGAGGGGAGGAGGAGGAGATGGAGGAGAAGGTAGGAGGATGAGGAAATGAGGTGGAGGAGCAGGAGGAGGAGGAGGAGGAGAGGGAGGAGGAGGGAGGAGGACAGGAGGAGGAGGAGAGGAGAACGAGGAGTAGCAGGAGGAGGAGGAGGAGGCGGAGGAGGAGGAGGAGGAGGAGGAGGAGGAGGAGGAGGAGGAGAGGAGGAGACTCGCAGCGCGACATCCTCATCCTCCTCGTCTGGAGGAAGGGCGGGGGCCCCGAGGGAAGCGGGCCCCCGAGGCGCCCCGCGGGGGGCCCACGGTCGGAGCCAGGACCCCGATGCCTGGAGATACGACGCCCCGAAAAGATTGCAGCGGCGAATGTGTGTATGCATGTGGGTATGTTGGTAGGTATGGATAAACACGTGTGTGTATGCATGTTTGTGCACGTGTGTATGTATGCGTGCATGTAGGTAGGTAGGTAGGTTGGTTGGTTGGTTGGTTGGTTGGTGCATGTATGTATGCATGCATGTTTGTGTGTATGGATGGATGGATGGATGGATGGATGGATGGATGGATGGATGGATGGATGTGTGCATGTATGTATGTATGTATGTATGTATGTATGTATGTATGCATGTATGTATGTTTGTATGTAGGTGTATGCAGGCAGGCTTGCATGAATGTAGGTGTGTAGATATGTAGGTAGGTATGTGTGTATGGATGCCTGTATGCAGGTATGTAGGTATGCATACATGTATGCATACATGTATGTATGTATGTATGTATGTATGTATGTATGTATGTATGTATGTATGTATGTATGTATGTATGTATGTATGTATGTATGTGTATGAGTGTATGTGTGTGTATGGTTGTGTGTATGGATGCATGTGTATGCGTGTATGATTGTATGTATGTATGTATGTATGTATGTATGCATGTGTGTGTTGATGCATGAATGTATGTATGCACGTATGTATGTATGTAAGTGTATACTGATAGTATATGGAAATGGAAACTGGCATGTACCTGTAAATGTATGTGTAGCTGTGTACGCATGTGCGTATGCAAATACAACTTCACATGCATGTGCACATGTATATGTACGTGAATGCATACCGGTAAATGCATTCGTATATGCCAATACGGCCTGGTTGTGTTGATGAATGTCTGATATGTTTGGCTTATCTGTTGAGGATCAGTTCTGGCCACATGAACGTGGCATGACGGCCGGCTGCGGGCCGTGCTCGGCCGCCGGGGGCCCTCGCCTGGCCTCGCGGCCGCCAGCGAAGAGCTCAGGGCGAAAAAACGCCCCCAGGGGGGTGGTCCAGGCTTCCGGGGCCCACGCACCGAACTAGCAGGAGGAGGAGGAGGAGGAGGAGGAGGAGAAGGTGGAGGAGAAGGAGCAGGAGGAGGAGGAGCAGGAGGAGGAGCAGGAGGAGGAAGAGGAGGAGGAGGAGGACGAGGAGAAGGAGCAGGGGGAGGAGCAGGAGGAGGAGGAGGAGGAGGAGGAGGAGGAGCAGGATGTCGTCGCAGGAGGGTCGCACCTGCGGGGCCCACGCATCGAAGAAGCTGGAGCGGCCGGATGTCTGGGCAAATCGCTCCAGGAGGCCTAGGATCCAGGGTTCCGGGCCTCCCAAAACGAGGTCCGAGGAGATGGGGTCCGGGGATCGTGCCGCATCGCCCATGCATCGGCGACGTCGCCGCGATCCTCCGACCCCATCCGCTGGGACCCCTTCTGGGAGGCATTCAAGGGCTTGTTTCCCTCGGGACCTGCTTCCTAGATGAGCGACGGCAGAGATTGGGTCGATGGCGCGGACATTCGCGCGCAAGGTTCCCGCGTAAGTGGCGGCCCGCGCGTAAGCCGCGGCGAAGGGTCGTTGTGTCATTGTGGGTGAGGCCCGCTTCCCTTCGTTGCTCATATGGTTCCTGAGCCTATCCCCTGATGATCTTCGGGTCGTGATTCGGGCCCGCGGCGGCCGTTCGGGACGATCCAGGCACTCCCTGGACACTCTCGGCGAGGCGCAACCGCTGGACAGCATCCCGAGGCTGTGAAGCCGCCGAGAGCCGACGAAGACCTGCGAAAGCCTCCAACGTCCTGCTCCTCCTCCTCCTCCTCCTCCTCCTCCTCCTCCTCCTCCACCTCCTCCTCCTCCTCCTCCTCCTCCTCCTCCTCCTCCTCCTTTGTTTTAACGTTCGCCTGGCCCCAGAGGTCCCGACCGCTTCCCCGGAGGTAGTTGTTCATTGTGGATATGTTTCTCGTGGCCCCGGGGCCCGATAGCAAACCCTGGAGGGCGGAATCCAAAAGACAGCGCCAGCTTCAAAGAAGTCGTGTTCGCCGCAGCGGCTCGGCACCAAGCCGCGGTCAAGGCAACCGAGGGGCACTGTGGAGCCGACGTGGGCACTACAGTGGAGGCCAGTCCACAAGAAACCTTCCACGAGAAGCCCCACCCTGAGACCCCAGGACGTCCATTGGTTTTTGGTGTGGCAACGTCACGCGCTCCATGGCAAGACCATCGAAACCCAAGAAACCCAGGGCACCCTGGAGGCAAGCAGGGTGTTGTTTCTTGGCGTGCTCCTCATCCTTCCCTCCTCCTCCTCCTCCTCCTCCTCCTCCTCCTCCTCCTCCTCCCCTTCCTCCTCCCCTTCCTCCTCCCCTTCCTCCCCATCCCCCTCCCTCCACTCCGCCTCCCCTCCTCCCCCTCATCCTCCCCCTCCTCCTCCACCTCCTCCTCCTCCTCCTTCTCCTCCTCCTTTTTTTAAACGTTCGCCTGCACGCATGCCTGCTGCGCCTCGTCGGAGATCTGGATGGGGGGGAGGAGGGAGGAGGAGGAGGAGGAGGAGGAGGAGGAGGAGCAAGAGGAGGAGGAGTAAGAGGAGGAGGAGGAGGAGGAGGAGGAGCAGGACGAGGAGGAGGAGGAGGAGTTTCCTGCATGCCAGAGGTACCTGGCGGCGCCCCAGGCGCGCCGCGGCCTGCTGCGGGGCGTCTGGGTGGTCTTCGGCGCGCAGCAGGCCTCCGACCTGCTGGACCGCGCGCTGCAGCACGCCGGCGCGGAGGTGCGGCTGCTGTGCTCGGGCCCAGAGCAGTGCGCCAAGGCCGAGGGCCCTCCTCCTCATCGTCGCCAGCATCTTCTACGGCCGCCTCCTTCTCCTCCTCCTCCTCCTCCTCCTCCTCCTCCTCCTCCTCTCCTCCTCCGTGCTCGAACACTTACTGGTCCGCCCGACTTTGGCTCGTGCTTTGCGTGGGCTGCCTGCCATGGCTTGCCTGCTGGCCTCTGGCAGCAGGAGCGTAGCGGGTAGGCTGCCAGTCATGCTTGGCCATCGGGCGCCAAAAGTCTACGCTGCGCATAGCCTGGGCGCGTAAGCCGCGCGCCAGGCTCCGACGGATCGCGCGGTGTCATCAAGAGGCCTCAGGGCCTCCCTCCTCCTCCTCCTCCTCCTCCTCTATCCTCCTCCTCCTCCTCCTCCTCCTCCTCCTCCTCCTCCTCCTCCTCCTCCTCCTCCTCCTCCTCTCATCGTCGTCGTGTCATCGTCATCATCATCGCCAGCAGCATCATCGTCGCCATCGACAACATCGTCATCATCGTCATCTTCATCAGCAGCAGCATCATCGTCATGGTAGTTGTCATCGCCATCATCATCGTCATCAACAAAATCACCACCACCATCATTCAAATCAACAACAGCATAAACAGCATCATCTTCATCAGCAGCATCATCACGATCATCACCATCACGATCGTCATCATCATTATCTACAACATCATCATCTTCAGCCGCATCATCATCATCATTATCAGGATCGGAATCAGCATCATCGCCATCATCACCATCATCATGATCATCATCAGCATCATTATCAGCATCATCATCATCATAATCATCATCATCAAAATCAGCATCATCATCATCAGAGTCAGTATCATCATCATCATCATCATCATCATCAGCAGCAGCAGCAGCAGCATCAGCAGCAGCAGCATCATCATCATCCTCATCTTCCTCCTGCTCCACGTCATCATCCCCATCCCGTCGCAGTGACCGAGGCCCTTCCCCTCCTGCTCCCTCCTCCTCCTCCCTCCTCCCCTCCCCGGGGAGGAGGAGGAGGAGGAGGAGGAGGAG